GGCCAGCACAGCCAGGAGATGAGTGTGCTGTTGGATTACAGCGGGCGCTCAACATGTGAAATGATGCTCCTCTGAGGGCACGCAAGCTCCTCTGTTGGGCTGCCACTCGTCACAGGAAGTTGCAGTGCGGTCGGCATGCTCATCAGGGAAATGGATCAGCAGAAACCTGCACATCCGAGGTTGGGCAACAACGCGACCACAGGCCTTGCGCGGACAGCTTTGTGCGTGTGTGTGTGTGTGTAACTTCTTCGGCGCTGCGCATACTGAAGGTTTCAGTAGCTTCAGCAGCCCCAGCCCCGGCGCGCACCGGGGGATCTGTTCAAGGCCATCCAATGCAATCCATTGTGTGTTTCTTACCTTCAAGGGTGGCCGAACCATGTCGGATTGGTGCACATCAGGGAGAAGTTTCAGCATAGCCGGAGTTGATTAAAATTACATTCCTCATTCCACCTTGGGATTGACAACGATTGCGTTGTCACGGAATGTCACAGGATTTCGTCTCATTATTCTTGTTGCAGGGGCCGGTGACCGCATCCAGAATAGCTGGAAGCCAGCCGGGCAGCGGGCTCGGCCTTTCCTAGCGCATGACATGTGGAGAACCTTTGCTCGCGCAACTTCAGGACAAAGAAGCACCAGAAAGGCGGCTTTGGGTGTCGGATGTGGGTTGGCATGTGGTCAGTGCTGTGAGAGCATGTCAGGAGGCTGGACAAGATCCTCGTGGCAGGTCTCTTAGTGGCGAAAGTTGAGTGGCATGGTCATGCAACATCATGGTAATTTGAGTGGCCGAACTGTGCCGGCGCCATGCGCCAAGGTACCGGTATGAGCCTGGCTCCCACCAGAAGAACTGGCGGGACTCTCAAAAGCCGGGGCCTCGGATCTACGGCGAACAGAAACGGTTTAACAGTAGCAATGCTCAGGAGGGGATGGCAAGGTGAAACGGTGGCCCCGAAGACATGGGTCTGGCGAGCTCTGGCCTCACTTCGAAACCTCGTGTGGTGTGCACGTGACCTTGTCCTCTGCTAACTTCCGCTTCTCGATGCTCGAACGCTTCAGCCGCGAGGTCAAGGGAGCCTGATCTCGAGTAGAGCTCCAAGGCCTGCAAAATCTGCAGGCATCGAAAGTGATCGTCTCAGCTCAGCAGGATATATACACTATGAGAGTGGACATGTGGCAGCAATTACAGCTCAGCGTGTAATCACGCCTTGGAGAAATTGGCTGGCAAGAACAGAGCAATAGCAGCGGCTTCGTCAGCATACCTCGCTGACAGAACCGAGCGAAAGATTGCCCGACACTGCGATGTCTGAACCCGAGCTTGCGAAAAAGGTCTCCGAGCTGAGACTTTTCCGATGTGTCCACACCTCGCACATCGCGCGTTTGCGCAGAGAATCACAGGGCACAGTTTCGTGCCTTCACCTCCACTCCGGGCCTGCAGAAATAGGGCGTCCAACGATGAATCTGTCATGCAGTTTGTTTGGAGTTTGACTTTGCGCATGTGCGGTTGCACGGTCCTGTGCCAGCGGCATGGAAAGCATGTCCACACAGACTAACACAACGCCTAGGCCTTTGTCTCAACTTAAGAACAGCAGATCCATGCCATGGCACTAGCCCAGAACATCGAGGTAGTGCAGATTTCTCTCACTTCCCTTTTGCTCAGCAAGACGCTTGCTCCTGCTTCAGCCAGGATCCCAAGTTTGAAGTTGTCAGAATCGGGAACTCCTTCTACAGGCAACTGCATCCCGAAGCCCTACCCTCCGAGCAACGCTGCGCATCAAATGCTAGCAGGAAACTTGTCGTTGACGAGAATCTGAAATTCAAATGCGAGGAGTCTGCCTGGCAGGTTTATCTCCCAGATTCCACGCGCACCACTCGTAAGCACACAGCTTCACCCAGGAATCGCAGATACTACGAGGAGGATGAAGTGGAAGAGGAACGTCATCCGTCAGGGTAGTTCTTCGGCTCCGAGCCCGAGGTCTGCTAGCTGGGTATGGGGCCACTGAGAACACATGGTGCAGGAGGGAGAGCTTGATGATCAGCTGGTTTACGAGGCAACGCCCTAGAGCGAGAAAGCAGCCGCCTTTACCCGGTTGATGCAACACAGCTTCGTGCGGCACAGAAGCCGTTGAAACTGATGGCAGGGTGATGAGTGGGTATTCCGAATGGAGATGCCTGCCATATTTCACAGATTCATTGTTGGCTCACGGGCAGCGACCTTTTGAAGATGCCTTTTGCAGTCACTGAGTCATTACTCGCATCAGAGACTGAAGGCCAGAAATAAGCAGAAGCTTGAGATGGAGCCGCGGTCTTGGAAGTGGGCCGAGGCGTCGGTGGAAATTAGATCTGCATCAGGTCGGGATGCAAAATCGTGGTTCCAAAGCGCGAGGCTTGCACAGCTTCTGCGGACACTCCTCTTTTCTATTTTCCACCAGCTCGAAAACTCGTGAGGAGCTGGAAGATGCCGTGTATCTGAAAGCACGGCAGAAGAGCAGCATCTACAGCTGCAAGGCGGGGCTTGCCTGTAGGCTGGAGGATCCCTGGGACTTAGGCGCTTTCAACCTTTACCCGTTTAGGCGCTCATAGAGCTCCTTTGTGAGAAGGAGGAGGCCAAGCTGGAGGCACTTTGAAAACGATTCCTTTACATCAAGGAGAGCTTCAGAACAAGAGCACGCAGCTTCCCAGTACACGCACTTCATCTCGGTCCCGCTGGCCTATGACGACAAGTTTCGGCAGCTGGTGGACGGTTTCCGGGAGGACACCCTAAGCGCAAGAGATAGCACCCCAGCCCTGGGCCACAGTGCCAGACGCCTCGAGAGCGACACGAACAACAGACACCTGTAGTCTGCCTCGCAGGCAAGCTGCAGCGCAAAATTCAATTAACTTCGCTATGTGAGAGAACCCGAGAGCTTTCACAACAAGGGTCGGACAAAACACCTAGAGCTTCGTCGGAAATGAAGCTATTTCATGTCTTCTGCGAGTGCGCGGAGAAGAAACAAATTGAAAGTCTTGGCTGGAAGAGAGTGAAAGTCAAAGAAAAAGTTGATGGGTCAGCCACAAGCAACTCGCAATAAAGCGGAACTGCCTCTCCAGCTTACAGTAGAACATCAAAGACAAATGCCAAAGAGAGTTGGATCCCAGATTGCACACAAAAAGATCTGCACCAGTCGATCCTCGTCGTCGTTCGCTGTTGGCAAGTCGGTAGCGGGGGGCAATCGTAGAGAAAATGTCGATTTTCGCACAGACGGCGTTCGCCATGTGAATCCATCCCGCCCACCTCGCCTCTTCCTTGAATGCACAGGATGTTGTGCTGCAGCGTTTCCAGGGCATAGATGCTTCCATCTTCATGCCCTCCCAGCCACTTCCTCGGAACCGTGTCAGCAGTCGCGTCGGATTTCTTTTCTGAGTCTGCCAGGCGCATGCACTTCACCCTGTGCATGCTGAAGCTGCACTCTCATGCTCAAGTCGATGAGATGAAGGAGGATTGACGCTACCTTCTGCTGCCTGACGTTAACAGCTCTAACCTAGCCTGCATGCAGGCATTAAAGGACCTGTCTGCTCGCAAGCCCTGCCTGTTGGAGATGGTGGAGCTTTGCCTGACAAGTACAAACCCTGTGCTTGTGCCAGGCCTCTCGGCAACGTCCGACTATGCACGGCCACTAATGGCGCACATGAAGGCGTTGCTGCTGCTCAGTGTGGGTGTGTGTGTGTGTGCGCGTGCGTGCGCGCACACCCTGATTCTAAGCTCAGCCTTTGGGCAAGTTCGACTTCAAACAGCTGGGGGGGGAATGGGCTCATCACGGCAACATCTTCCAACCAAGCTGCGCTGGGATGCCAAAATCTGCACCCGCAAAGCCACAGAAACCATTTGCCGTTTTTGGGCCAGTCATTCGGCCATTTGGTACGAAGGACTGGACCGCATCCCCGTTTCTTGACACGCGAAGGCATTACATCATTACGCCTTGTCGTCGGCATGGCACGTACTGTAGCCAACAGCAGCGGCAGGCATGCTCACTGTCTGGCACAACGGCGCATCAGGGACAGGACCCGTAGCCAGCAAGAGCATTCCTTCAGTGCCCGAGTGCGACGACATTCTGAAATACTTGGAGCATGGACTCACAAAGGATCTAACCCTTGTCTGGGTCAAGCCTTATGTGTGTGTGTGTGTGTTCTTGCATGCACTTGTTCACCAAGGCGTTAGGTTGCTGCATGATGGCAGGCGCAACAGCGCTTAGTTGCTTTGACTTAGCCATCAGCTTGCCAAAGTTGCAGCAGAAACAGCCAACAAAGAAACAACCGACAACTGTTTCATGGATGGTCTTGCTGGTGCTGATAATCGAGACCATCTTTGCAATTCATCGCCAGCTTGATTGTGCATGCCTTGTCTTGCTCTAGCCGTCAATCAGCTTGTCACAGTTGATTCTTTGTGCGAGTCGGAGACTTCTTATTCGCTGACTTTTTTTGGATGAGCATTGCTGCGTTATAGTTGATTTGCTTGACACGCTGCGCAGTAACGTTCGAAATATTCGCAGTGAAACAGTCGAGCAGGGGGCAGGGGTGTTCTTTGAGAGTCTCCCACGAAGCAAGACGCTCTCATTGCACAGTGGCATGGAGACGGGACGCTGTCTGTGCGTACCTGCTGGTATTCTTCGAACAGACGTTAGCAGAGAGGTTTCTGCAGCCCGTCCTATCTCTGATGCAGTCATCACAGCACCGTTGATGTGTGCATGCTGGCGTGTGATCTGATGCGTGCAACTGCTCGAAGAGACTGCAAGGGCCTGCACATTTTCACGGACGACCCTACCAGCGCCGTTGCCTCGGCACGGGCATTGCACAGATGTTGCTGGCGACGTCCAGCAATGCACGGCATTGCTCTGAGTCGTGCTCAGGTCGGAGTGGTGTTCACCACGGATCGGTCCCGAGAATTACAAAATCGCAACTCTACTGCAAAGATGAAATTACACAATTACTCAAACTCCGCCAACAGATTTTGGCGCACAGAAGATTCAGATGTTCAAACAAGGCATGAACTCCATGGCCGACTCGATGTTTGAGCTCTTCCAGGTGCTTTCCAACACATTGGGATTCTAGGGGCTGTACAGGTCCGGGTTTCTTAATTTTGGGGCATTGCTTTTCTAGCCTCCGGATCACTTCCCTTCACGGCCCAGGCGCGGAATTTGGTCTCCTCCCAGAACTTGATGTCACAGAGGCTTTTGTCCTCCGACGGCCAGCACGCTGAGGTCGGGAGAAACTGTTTTACAGCCGCTGACCTGGGAGAAAGCCGTTCCTTTCTTGATCGCAGGTCAAACTTCACGCTACCCTCATGAACACAAAGCACGTGTCCCAGAAAGAACCCAACAGAGCGCAGTCGTTCAAGTGTTTGTTACAATGGGCCAATGAAGCACCTGCGTAACGGACGTGCACCTCGAAGCGAGAGCATTTAGAAGGGAAGCGACAACAAACGAGCACGCATTGGTGCTGGATGCAACACAGGCCTTACAGCCCACAACCAAGCAGGCTAGGTGAAGCGTTCGAGGCGTCTCCAAGACTGCAATAAGGTATGCACGGTCGAGATTCGACGATCGCTCAGCTCCGCGAGAGAACTTCGACGCCAGTGTGCTCATGGAGCGCTTCGGACAGGCCGAGCGAAAGAGTTTCCCAGTGTCCTTTTTTTCGTCGGCAAGGAATATGGCATGGGGCATGAGGACATGGCTGTTGCCTCGCTCACATCTGGCTCGATGTAGGAGCCAACACTAGCCAGATATGCTGAAGCAAGAAGATGCCTACTACCGAGACACACATGTTCTAGAACATCCTTTTCCTGCCGGCCTCGTCCACTGGTCAAATGAAGTTCAGGCAAGGAGGGCTGAGTGGCCGCTTGTTCTCAGAAGTTGGTGATGCAGGCCGTGCATCGACATCCACGATGGGCAGGTGAAGCAAATCGTGGGTGGCACATTGAAAGATGACTCCAAGTCCCTCGTCACGAATTTCGAGGCTTCTCAGCACCCTCCTCAGCTTCAGCGAACACTGCCACTGGCACCGCTCAAGCAGATCACCTGCACGAGGCCATCAAGCTGGTTCGCAGAACGATACCGAGATGACGGCTTGGGCCTGTCGCTTAGCTGGGCTTTTGTCAAGATGAGACCATGGACGACAGGGGCTAGAAGCAAACATGCCGGATCCCATGCGATGCAGGAGGTGGGCACGCAATCATGCTGGGTGCTTCGGAACCAAACAAAGCAGCAGCCAGAGTCTCAAGAGCGGCACCCAATGGGCAGCTTGCTATGATTGCTCCGACACTCCGACTTTCGCAGGCGCTCGCCACACTGAAGGCATACCCAGGCGGTTTACAGGCTCAGCGCTCGAACTGAAGACGCAAAGCCAGCCGCTGCCTTTTTGGGTCCCAGGTTGGTGGAGGAATCAGCGCAGAGAACGCAATGGAGTTTATTGACGCAGGCAGTCCGGCCGAGATTGCGCAAACAAGTTTCCTCGCGAGATGCAAGGAGCTAGCCATGTCATCGTGACTTCTTACGTGTTCCATGATGGGAAGGCATCCTGGAAGCAATGCACCAGAGATCCAAACATGCCAGCATGCCCTAGACACTTGACCCTTGTGGCGATCCCCCAACCTGCCATTCAAAAGAAGCGCCAAGGTAGACAAGGAGAGGCTTGCAGCATTGGTTGACAAAGTTGGCGCAGCCCCAAAATGCAAGCGGTTGCATCTGATCAGATGTTCGTGTCCCAGAGCATGTCCCTAGGTCGCGAGCGCCTGGTCCTCGACCTGAGCTGCAGACGGGTGCCAGATGAGGAGCGACTCCGAATCAGGGTTTTCTCATGGCCTGGGAATGTGATACGAGCCAGGACAAAGAGAAGAAACCGGTGTACAAGGCTGCTTTGGAAGGAACCTGACGTTTGCTATGATGCTCCTCGCTGCCTTCGATTCCTGCCTTGGGTCAGCTTCGCAGACCTTCCAGCCATAGCCACTAATCATGTTCTTAGTGCTTTGCTTTGATAAGCAGCAGTTGGTTATGGGTTGACCGCCATGACTATCAGATCAGAAAGAACACGGATTTCTGCCGTCGCAGCCATGGCGAAATATGTGACGTTCGACTCACGCTGTTGTCCAGACTGCACCCCCGCTCTGCACCTTACCGCGCAGGTGTTCGTCAGTTTCCTGCCAGGTGCCACTTTTATAGGTTGAGGTAGGAGGGGGATGTCTTCATCACACAGAAGAACCTTGTGTAGTTGATTCTGAAGGAGACACACTTTCATAAGACTGCGAATCCCAGGCAGTTGGACGAAACCTTCCCAGCCGCCAACCTAGCCGAATAAAAAATCCCCCAAGCCCCCTCACAGGTGTTTGCTGCTTGTGCATCCCATCCTGGCGGTGGGCTTCAGTGGCTTGCTTGTGCGCCGCTATTTTGCCGCGCGTTCTATGGCAACCGGGAAGGGGAGACGCTGCAGAGGGATCCAAATATACCTTTGCACTTGGCTTCTACTGGAACTTTGTCATGATTAGCTGCTTTGCTTCCCCTCTTCTGCTGGCCATTGGCTGCTGGTATTGTCCATTGCTGTGCTTGCCGACGTTCGGCTATGTAGTGTGGGCTCGCTTTCTCTCCCGTGCCGAACTCGGTGACGGAGCTGCCTGGCCATGGTTCTCCCGTCAGGAGTGGGGCTACCATGCTTTCAGGCGATACCTCCAGCTGCGTATTCATGTTCATACATCGCTCTACGAGCGTTCTGCGGAAAAGCCTGTGGTGCTTGCGATTCACCCGCATGGTGTCGCAAGCGACTATCGTATCATGCTCGATGGCATGCTTTACGAGGCACTGCCGCATCGGAACGTTCTTACTTTGAGTGCTTCGGTGCTCTTCCATCTGCCGATGGTCCGAGAACTTTCATTGTGGACAAGATGTATAGATGCGCGGAAGAGTGTTGCTTGCCGTGCCCTGCGTAAGGGCCACAGCCTGATGGTCATTCCTGGCGGCGAGCACGAACAGATTCGTACCGTCCAGGGCAAAGAAGAAGTGTATTTGTCCAAGAGGATGGGGTTTATCAAGATCGCTTTGCAAGAGCGAGCAGCCGTAGCACCATGCTATGTCTTCGGGTGTGTAGACCTTTACAAGACCTTTACCGGCTTCATGAAAGCACCTCGGGAATGGCTTCGCAAAAGTTTTGGCATTTGTATTCCCCTGTACTACGGGGCTTTGGGTCTGCTGCCACTACGATACCCGGTACACGTCGTCATGGGGGCACCGATTGAGTTCGAGTGTAAAGTCGCCGGATTTCCAAGCGACGAAGAAGTGCAGGAAGCACATGCGAAGTATGTTGCTGCCCTGACCAAGCTGTACAACGAAGAAAGACATCACTACGGAGATCCGAATCGTGAGTTGCTTGTTTCTTAACTCGGGCTCGCCGCCTTGGACCTCTCGTTTACAGCTCGGCATGCGAAAAGGTGGGCTGACCCGCTCTGGCACAGGACCCCCAGCGACGTTTTGAGCATGATCTAGGCTGATCTGTGAGGTGGTGACAGACCGCTGGCAAAAGTGGACTGACTTGGAGGTCTCTGAGGCAGCGTGGCGCATGTATGACGCAAGTTTTGTCATAGTTGGTCACAATTGTCACCCCAAGGAGACCCTCAAGGAGTTGGCCGAGCAATGCAGTGAGTTCCTCGTTCATGGAGTTGACGTGGAAGGCCTGCAGAGTGGAATCGAGGAGTCGCAGCATATTGGCCATATTGGGGTAGATAACAACTTTTCCAGCATGTCCAAGAGGAGCCCCTTGTCCAGCTGCTGGCGGCGTCACCCGTTCCGGTGACGTGCCCCGCGCGCGATTTTTCCAGGTGAGCGAAGGGGATTCTGTTTCCGCCATGCATCAGGTACGCAGGTGGAGTTCGATCCTTGGAAGACGCTCGGTCGATCATAGCCATAACGCCCTCTTAGGCGACGTAGACGGCCTTGCCTTACCGCTTGCCCCTGGCCTGCCTCAGGACATGGAAAGAATTCGAACGCTAGGCCATGGCCGAGTGGACGCGACCATAGGCCTGCTGGGTCTTGCCGGCACGCTCGGCAGACCCGTTCGTTCTCGCGACTTTGGTGAGGCAGTGCCTTGGATATCTTCGGCGGCCAACTGGCCTACAAGGAGGTGAGGGCCTCACAGACAGAACGGCTCAGGGCAGGCCTGGTGCGTCCCGCATCTTTCACATGGCAGGTCCTTCGTTGGCACCGTGACCAAGAGCAACTAGAGCCCAAAGCAGGATGAGAAGCAAGTCTCACCACATTGGTTTACGGATGCACGCCGGCGAAAGGAGCTTCTTCATCCACAGTACCTCCTGGCTTCAGCAAAACCAGACAACTGCACGAATCTTGCAGGTCGACTTCGGCGCGGTGCAGCTCAAAGAAGTCCAACTTTCCTGCTTGGACGAGATGGGAGACAACGGCTGCACGGAAGCATCCAAGACGCCGTTCTGCTATCATGTGGTCTCAGCCTGGTCTCATGTTTGAATGGCCTTGCTCGAGGTTTCTATCGCTGTCTTGCATCCATACCGTTGAGCGGAGGCTAGTTCCCCGTTTCCTAGCTGCAGGTGCAGTAGTTTACGACGATTTTCAGCCGCAAAGGCACGGCACGGACAGAACAGCCCGCACAGGATCGCCCAGACAGTGCCTCCATGTGCACCGTACGAGTCACGAAACACCTGCACCAAACCATGCACGCGGCCCATCGTATGTGTCTTCGCCTTGGTTGCCATCAGGCTCGATCTGCTGAATGCCATGTGACAAACCAAGCGCTCCAACTGGCCCGGACTGTCCAATGTAGGTTTCCTGAAGTGTCAAAAGATGAGAGCTACCTGCGACCATGGGCTTGGAATGGCCTGCCGCCGCTCAAAGGCTAACCCTGGAGGCCAGCAGAACAGGCCAGGGGTGCTAAGACATGAAGAGTTCACCCGAACACCAGGTCATCATCCACCTGATTGAGTTCAGCAAAATAGATGCTGTTGCGAGGTTGTCATCCACAGGCTTTCAGCCGGCTCATGGTTCATGCAGCATTGATTTGTTTTTGCAGTCCCCTTCACACAATCCACCAGGCCGTGCCGGAAAGGCAGCCGACCTTGCCTCGGATTTGATCGTATGCAACCTTATGCAACACAGGTCGTCACGATGTCACAGAAGATGCGCATGTCTGAAGAGGTTGGATGCGTGCTCTCTCCCGAAAGAGTCGCTGCAATCAAGACTTGGCGAGACGTCATCTGGGTGCCAAACTTACCGAGCGCAAGCAAGTCCGTTTGCTTCGCAGCATCTGTCTTCTGTCATCATCTGTATACAAGATGCACGCTTGATGGATCTAAGTCCGCACAGCTACCAGTCCTGCAGCGTGCCGTCGAGGCCAAGGAAACATCAGCTTTGCTTCTCGGGTTGTTGGCTGTCGCGCCGCAGGCAGCTGTTGCTCCTCCCCTCCCTCCGGCAGCGCGGGTGGCTATTCTGGATGCCTTCGGTGAGGATGCCGCTTAGCCGAGATGTGCCCTCTGACCTCTGACTCCTGACTCAACAGGTAGCCTACCGTCGCAACTTATGCCCTTGGCGAGTGCGCCACCGCCCCGGTCAGATGTGTTTTTGCAGCGTTGGCATGATCGTCAGCCAAGGTGCCATTTGCTTCACACGCGCAGGTCGAACCGCGGGTGAGGCATGCCCAGTCATGCATGGAAAGGCTGACAGCGCTGGCATGACATGTTCACAGGAAAGGTACTAAAGTTCCTTCGCAGAAGCTCGAGTTTGAGACCCAATTTTGGCCTTCAGAGCAGATAGGGCGTGTGGGAGCTGGGACTTACCGAATCAGGGCCGATTCTGCCAAACCCCACTAGTTTGCGAGTTCACTGAGCCCCTGTTTGGGAGGGCTCGGCGGTCGGATTTCAAGCGAATGGGGCAGGATCGGTGGAGAGAGCTAGTCTCAGATGATGCACATGATGTTCGGTGCCTGGGGCGGCTTCCTTGCTCCTGCTCATGATGTTCAACGTTGGCGTGGCTTCTGCTTCGGCAGGTCGTGACCGTTGCAAACAGCCTGACGCTTCCAAGTCTGACCAGACATGACAGACATGACATGACTAGACACGCCTTGCTTCAGCTGCTTCCTGAGCTTCGGTCCGCCCCCCAGCGCTAGTTTCGTGTGAACTTGTCGTCTCACTGCAGATGGATAACCAGCGACAGCACCGACGATCTCGTCTTAATTTTGCCTGTTGTTCCCCCGAGCCGTGGGAATTAAGTATTTAAAAGATGGTGGTGGAGTGGTGATATGACATCCAAAAAACTTAACTCTGTGTCCTCGCTCTCTGCTTTAGTTTGGGTTCTTGTCAGTCGCCTGTAACGGTTATCGGAAGGCACCTCGGCGAGCCATGGTACGCTTTGACTTCCGATGCCCTCGCAGGCGTCAGGAGGCATTGGGATCAGGCTTCGCATCGCTCTCTCCGCAATGCGAGGCATGGATTGCTGCAGCCAGTTCGAGGAGTTCCTGCAGCTTACAGATTGCGGAGCAGCACCGACGATCTCATGCAGGGGGCTTGGGTGCGGGCAGCGTGGAATCAGCATGGGACAAATTGCGCACGATGACAAGAAGCTCTAAGAGTTTCGTCGAGGTTGCTGTGCAGCCACTGTGGCCGAGATCAGATTGAGGAGGCGGCCGAGAAGTTGAGGGTAGCAAAGGGCCAATTCTGTGCCATCTCCGTCAGGATGAAATGATTTTACATTGTCCACGGTTCGGTTGCTGCTACGCCAGCACGCCAAGACATACCAAGTTCCAAAGCCACCCCTGGAACAAGCAGCTGCCGAGGACCTTTGCTTGAGCTGCGCAGAAGTCCTGGGCTCGAGGAACCACTGCAGACTTCTCCCCGTGCACTGGCTGTGCTGAGGCACTGGTGACTCACCGCCGCAGCGACAAAGATGCGCAGCGGTGCGAGAGGGAATTCGGGATCAGCGTTCCTTCACGGGTTTCCGGGTTCGATGCTGCCACCAATAATACACCCATGCCAGCTCCGGAGCGCCAGTGCAATCGCAGCAATCCGCTTCCGACGTCGGGGACCTGATGGGCAGATCTGCTCCGGCGCTTGCATCTTCGACTGCCTCTGTAGTTGCAGTGTCCATTGGGTAACCACCGTGCAGCATGCACGCGTATGCACGCGTGCAGGACTCCTCCGCTTTCGCTCCACTCGAAACGTACTGCCAAACACATGTGCAGAGAAGCCGATGCCGCAGTTGCTGTGTGCCAATGTCCTCCACCGCGATCTCAACATCATAGCCCGACAGCCCGATGGTCGCCGTCAACACTAGGCTCGTGTCAGGTCAGCGTCAGGTCGCGTTGGATGACAGATGCCGCTACGATACCGTCTCCTGCTCGGCTTCCCTGTCCGAGCTCCGGGATTTCGCCCCTTCGCTGGTGCCGCATGTGTGCGCCTGGTACGGCACCATGTCGGTGGGACCCCCATGGGCAGCTGCACCACGTGCTGCAGGGCGAGGGCTGCGAACAAGCGATGCGCTAGCTCCTGCAGTTGCGCTTGCACAAGTGTGCAAGGTCGCCTTCAGGCAGGGGAGTTCTTCGCAGCGTTTTTGGATTGTACCTCGTCACGATCCCGCTACATCACCAAAATCGTCGAGGCACACGCCGGTGTTGCGCCCAACTTCGGCATGTCGCTCTTTTACCGCGCCCCAGGAGGCACACTTCGGAGAAAAAAATGCTCGGGTCAGCCCTCGACGCAAGAGGCCTCCCTCAGCGCCCTGTCGCAACACCATCGGTGCAGCCCTCCGCCTCGCACACGCGAATGTGGAGCGCACTTACCCTGAGCTGCGGTGCTGCCGGCATGGTCCCCCAACCTGCATGCGTGAAGCGCAGCATGGTTGGAGCAACGGTCCGGCGATGTCCGGCGTTCTTGCGCCCAGTCCTTTGCGGCATCGCTCCTGTTATTGCCCCTCCACGGCACCGCCAACGCTGATGGCCTTTTCCCTCACCTTTCATGGAATTCCTTTCTTTCCTTGTGCTTCTGCCCGTCACGCTTGTTTGGGCCCTCGTTGAGTCTCCGGTTAGAGGTGCTAGGCCTATGGCTGAGACGTCTCCTGTCTATGCCGGATGCACACACCTGCCGCAGCGCCGTCCACTCCTGACTGGTTGCGGAGCTTTGACACACCGTCGCTAGCGCCGTGTCCCTCTACGGAGCTTGCCCGGTCTGCCTTTGAGAATTCCCCGACACTTCCGAGGCACAGAAGCACCTTTTTCCTGGCCTCACTATCGCCATGCGTTGCATTTCGGTTGCTTTGCCCACCTCGTTGCCAATGTCTGCGAGTTGCGATGCCCCACCTGCGGTGCCCGGTGGCCGCCCGAGGCCGCGAATGCGTTCACCACAGCATGCCGTGCACATGGAGTC